CCCCAAAACCCCAAAACCCCAAAACCCCAAAACCCCAAAACCCCATGAAGATAATGGATATTGAAAAGATTTTATTCTGTCTTTAAATGTCCAGATCCTTCCTCAACCTTACGAATATCTTCCTCGATAAAGTCCAAAGCATAATCAAGGAGGAGCTGTGGGTCCATTTTTAGCTGAGCATTTGCTGATCATGTCAATCTGAGTTCTTCTTTATAAGTCATTGCTACAAAAAAGACCTTGAGGTTGTAGTACACATTAGAAAATGCACCGAGCTTGGATACTTCTCTATTACATAGGTACCAAGGCTCTGAAGAGAATGGGATGTTCGAAAATACCATTTGCATGTCATTTACTATTCCATCTATTACTTTAATGGCTAGATATTCTGGGAGGAGGTTGATGAGATATCCCATTGACTTGTAGCTCAAAATAGCAAAGGTGCTTAAAAAGCTGTGATAATTTGTTCTACAACACTCAATAGCTGTCTCTAGGTTATTTCTGATAGGTAACCTAAATTTTATTCCTATAAGGGTGATTAGGTCAATTGTTAAGATCTGTGGCTGCTTACCAACACTTTCATTTTGGATCTTAATCTCTTCGAATTTCTTTGGGGGAGGTCTTGTATTGATGGATCCAAAAGTGATCACTTTCTCTGCACCTTGGACTCCATGGACCTTGTACCATTTGTCGAGAGAAACAGAGAGAACCCCCATCAAGTAATCATTGAAACTCACTCTTTGCTTTTCCGTGCATAGTTTTTTGTAGCATTTTCTTATTTTATCAAATGGAATTCTCCTTCTAGCTGAATATAAAGCCGAGTCTCTTTTGTCTTCAACTATGTTTTGTAAGTAATCTTGAGTAAAGCAGCATACAAATATGAATGAAAAAGAAGTGCCGGCTAGCATAGTTAGCAGGCTTTACACCCTTTGATCACCATTTGGAACCTTACCTTCAGGACAAGTTTTCCCTGACTGGATCTCTCTTCTATTTTCAATTAAATTCGAAGAATTTAAAAATTAAAATTTACTCGAATAAAAGTGACGTTAGAATTTACTCTTTCGAATTTTTCAGTGAAGGTTTAAGCTCATCGATTGCACTGGCATTCTTATCAAGAGATACAGTCAAATTTAGATAAGCAATGTAAGCGCAATATATGGGGCCAAGAATGAGCATAATAACTTCATAGATAAAGCTAACTTTAGGGAAGGATTTGTCAACTTTCATTCTTTTATCTTCATCATTCACGCTTGACATGAAGCTTAAGAATCCTCCAGCATCTGTGAAAGAGTGGTGGATACAGATGAAAACAGCAGATTCAGTAGTTGAGTAGTCTTCTACGAGAGATATCTGCCACAGAGGTTTAGAATAATCCATTGGTACGTTAGTGATTTCTTCTCAGTATTTTACACACTCTTCTTCTGTACTTACTTTCTTCGAACATTTGATGAGCTGGCCTTCTCCAGCCTGAATGCCGACATCTTTCCAGAAATATATTCCGAATTTTGAAATGAGGATGGACCTGAGTTTGGGAATTCTAAGGACGGCTCTCTGGTAAAAGTGGTTCTTGAAGGTTGGATAGTCCACTTTCTCCATTATGAAGTATCCTACCAAATTATGTGGAGAATTTGGGTATTCATGCAAAAGTCAAAAATCTGCAAAATTGAGTCTTGTGTAACCCATTATGATTCAGATTTGATCTGCAATGAGAATAAATGCTATTAAAAACAAAATCCCATACAATACTCCAAAGAAACTATAGGCTGAATAAAGTAGGATCAAGTGGAGGAGTCCGAATTTCCACATTTAATTAAATTATAAATTTAGGGATGTTTCGTCTTTGGGGTTTTGGGGTTTTGGGGTTTTGGGGTTTTGGGG